ATGGTTTTTTGTAGTTACATGACTCTGTTACTAAGCTGTCGATATGGACAGAAAACAATAACTCTTTGATTTTCATCTCGAGTAATGAATGATTATTCAATTATTGAAAAACATGAACTCAGAAACAAAATCAATGATTTAACGGAATTTCTTATTCATGTACTCTTGATACAAAGAGAGCTCTTCAGGGCTTTGAGCTCGAAGATTTTTGCCTTGTGTATAAAATGCACGATCCAGTCAATAGCGCCACGATTCACTTAACTTTAACCGAGGTCTAACCGTGGTTTCCTAATTCAAAAACTGGCCCTCAGCACTAAAGCGCCAATTGTTCGTGAACGCGCGCAACCGCGCGCGTTATAGATCTGAGAATATTATTATAGGAGTGTGAGAATATTATGGGAGAGAAGAAATATCGATGTGTATTTTAATGAATAAAGAGGAGAAAATTGTGTTAAAATTAAGAATTGAAGTGTGTTAAAATTAAGAGGTTTTTATTATTAATACTGCAGTGCCATTTCGTTTTCTTCCTGGTGGATTATTATTAATAACTGCAGTGAATAACTCAATCAATGATTTAATGATTTATTGAATTTCTTCCAATATAAATCCTTCGACGTAATAAAAAAGTATAGTAAGAAAAGAAATAATCTTAAAGTTATCGAGTTTTGTACGTGTTTACATACATTCGTTAGCTTCTTTTTCAGTTGGAAAAAAAAGTCGATAGTCGTGAACTACGTAAAGAGAAGAGAAAAGAAAGGGGAAACAATAACTCATGAATCGTAGAGTAGAATTGCTTCCTTTATTAAAAGTTCAAATATTTCTCCAATTCTCCAGCATCAAAACGAGATTTGATTCATTTATATCGTATCACTTGTTTAGACGATATATTTGACAATTAAACATGATTTGCTTGATTTCATTTTCTACAGCTTTTTTTTTCCTATGAGAAAGAGAAGGACAGAGATGAAAATTAGCTGCAATTGATGTTGTTAAAGATCAATTGTTCTTAAATATTGGAAAAATATTTTTCCATTGAATAAAACATATTCTCATGTGATTTTTATTCTGCTCCTTTTTTCAGACCTGGTTTGAAGCAAATACGTGATGGAGGTTTCGAGTTTATCTTGTTATCAACACACCGGAGAGTTTTCCTTTGCTGGCGGAATAATCAATTTGTATCGATAAATGTGGTGATTTATTGAAGAAATTGATGATATTGATGGGATAATTATGTTGATGATGTTGATGATAATAATAATGATGATGGTGATGATTTGTTGATGAGGAAGATAACTTTGATTTTTTTATTTTATGAATTGTTTATGATTTGATGATATACTAATTGATAAAATGAATGATAAATTGGAAATGATGGAAATATTGTGATGTATGCCCATGAAAGTTTTATATGAGTGAGATCAAGTTACAGAGATTTTAATTGGTTTTGAATGTACGAGAATTTGAATTGAATTTGAATTTGTACGAGACAAATCTACTGAATCGAGTTACTTGAGAGTGCAGCTGACTTCCGATGATAGCATGAAATTTCCAGATTTGAAAATTTGAATGCATCATATGAGCTTTCATATGATAGTCATGTCATCCTCTTCTTGCGGTTCGGATTTTTTTTTCTGAATTTTAATTCTTTTTAAATTTTTCTATTTTATGATAAACGAAAATACCTTCTTAATGTTTTTCCATGGTATTTGTAATCAGACCGATTCTCAGCGCTAAAGCGCTGATTGTTCGTAAACGCGCGCAACCGCGCGCGTCATGGACCTAGTTTTAATTATTACAATATTGAACAACAATTGAAATTGTTCTCACAATTTTGCACTTGTTCCTCCGTTGTNGGACCTAGTATTATATAATTACTAACTAAATCGACGTAGAGATCGATCTCAATATGTCACACACCCTAAGCAATGTAGTTTTATTCTCGTTTTTTCATTTTTTCGCTGAAATCGCTTGTTCGCACGATAACTTAAAAAATAATTGAGATAGAAACTTGAAACTTGGTATAATTCGGAGATAATCTACTTTGTATGTGAAACTCTTTTGCTCAATATCTCAAAAACTATTGGTCCGATTCCAATTTTTTTTTCAAAATGTGCGTTTTGATGTCATCTATCTAGATCCGATAAAATATGGGTACCATCCCATTGAAATTTTTCTAGATATCGTCTTTTTGATATTTTTTTGGTCGGAATTCACTTTTGCGCACTATAAGATGGGTAAAAGTCAGGGAAACCTTTTGAAACTTTGGCTTCTAGTTAGGATCGTTAAGGAACATTCCTACATCAAATTTTAGGTCAATATATTTAATAATTCTTGAGATTGGACAATTCACCCAAAATTCTTGAGAAAAAAAAATTAATGCATCTATATTTCACTGTTCATTTTCACGTCAGCATTTTTGAAATCATACGTTGGGATCCATTCGAACACCTACTACTAATGAAATTAGTAGAAATGAAAATAGGAGATAAAAAATTACGTGGAGCGTAGCAGTCATATGTAATCTGTCAAATGGCTTCTGTCGCGCTGCTTGTTCATAATCTGGGTTCACGGTGCGATGAACAATCAGAGAATGACCAAGGAGATGAAAGGGGGGGGGGAAGAGCGGTGTTGACAACTCGAGAGCAATTCAATACAGCCCACATTGACAATGAAATATTCATTGGAATTTATGTTGAGTAAAACAACTACCACTAGACCACTTGTCTTCTCTAATTGACAACACTGAATATAGATATGAAAAAACAAACCTTCGAATAACAGTGGATTTCCGTTTCTGAAGTAGACTAGAGCTGGGAAGGTCTTGATGGAGTACCTCTTCGCCAGTTGTGGATCTCGTATTTTCACTAGATGAATGCCGAATACATCGCACTCATCGTCGATGCGTTCTAATCCCTCGAGGATGTCATCACAGATGTGACAATTTTGTTTATCTAGAGACAAATTGGAAGTAGAAATAACTGCGATTACAGTTTTCTATGTGAATATTTTAGACATTTGGGAAATTATGAGAATTAAGCTCACAGAAATAGACAGCCAGGTACTGCGTGTCTTCAACAGCAGACTCTAGCATCACTCGGGTGATTAACTCAATTCGATCCTCAGTTTTCTGAGTGATCAACCACTGAAGTACTTCCTCTTCCTCGGCTAGATCACCTTCGAACACATTAGCTGTTTGGGCCTCGTAGTACACTAGTACTGGAAAGTCAGTTACTCCGTAGTCTTCGGCTATTTTAAAGTCCTGGAATTGTCAATTCGTTGAATCAGATAATTATTTTTTCTTCCGAATGGAAGCATTGCAATACTTCGATTTTCACATTCTCTAATTTTGATCGGAAATAATGTAGAATAGTCGAAAATGTAAAAATACGAAGTTTGGCGACCATGTCTGTATGTGACCACGTCCACCGCCACCTTCCCGATGGCCAATTTTTAGAAAATTAAGTAATTAAGTGGCTAAAGTAATTCCAAAAAACCTGAAATTTTTTCAGATTATAGGTCTTAATGAAGACTAAACTTTGCAAAATTTCAGCCCGATCGATCTTATAGTTTTGGAGAAAAAGCGATTCGTTTTTAAATCAGATTCGGATTCAGATTCAGTTTATTCATTGCTTGAGACATTACATAGTCTTGTACAAAGGAGAGTCGAGCATTGAGCTTAATTTATTGGTTTCGAGTACATCAATTAATTATTTTATCTTGCGGGCTAGTTTTATAGTAATACTTATAATATTCAACCATTTCAAGATGTTAACATCATAAAAATTAAATTTGGATACATCTCAATTATTTGTTTCATGTTTGATAATTTTAGTTAGGAAGTTGTGTAGTGCAAAAAAATCTTTTGGATTCATAGAGTTTAGGAAAAATCTGAGTGTATCAGAATTAGAAAAGTTTAGTTGTGTTTTGCTCGTAAAATATTTTCTTTCTTCAGAAAATTTGGAACAGCTTGTTAACATGTGGTGCAGGTCATTGGCAGTTGGTTGTGAGCAATTTTTACAAAATTTATCGTCGCTGAATTTAAGAATTCCCTTTTCTGTTACGATTCGGGGAAAAAAGGCTGTAATCAGACGGCATTGGGCGAAGGTTTGAAGGACATTTTGTGGAAGATTGAGTTTAAGGAAGGGTTGTGGTTCAAAATTAGGATTCGCATTTAATCTCAACAGGAGATAAGGATATACAGGAAGTGATGAAGCTATCAGACTTTGTCTATCATTGTTTCTGAGTTTATCTTCATACTTTTACAGAATTGTATTAATATTATCAGCAGGTATACCTTCGGAGCACAGGCCATTGATACCAGGTGGAAAAAACCCGATAATTATTTCGTCTAATTGTTTTCACCAATTGTAACTTTTTGTAATTGTTGGTTTTTTTGAAAGGGATAAGAGTTTTTTAAAACATAACTTAGGCATTCTATTGTCATCCATTACAAGTAATTTCATAATCCAATTCAATGACCTGTTAATAATTTCGTATTCTAGAGCTAGGGCACCTACTTCGAGGCGTACCGCGTAGTTAGGACAGTACATAGGTAATCGCAGTAGTTTTTTTATAAAAATAGGCTTGCGTATGATTTATTATGTCTAGGTGCGCAGGGCCCCAAACTTCTGCCCCATAAAAAAGAACACTGGTTGCTAGAGCCTTGAAGAGATACTCGTTCGTGTTCCATGTATTTGAGCGAGTTCGATAGAGAATGTTCAGTACAGCGTGGATTGCATTTCGAGATGATAATTTAGCTTTGATCGCTTGTTGTCCGAATAATCCAGATTTGTTAAATAAGCATCCTAAATAGTTGAACTATTGAACGATCTCTATCGATTCCCCTCCGTAAGTGAATTTTATTCTCTTCGCGGGTCTGCCTTTTTCCATAATTAGTATTTTTGACTTCGATTTATTCACTTCCAGATGTTTTAGTTTAAAATACTCAGTCGACAATCTTATTAATTTTCTCATTTGGGAAGGGTTTTCCGCTAACAAAGCGATGTCATCAGCATAGGCTGTACAAATTATGTCATTTTGGTGATCAATTGAAATCCCTCTTGCCCCGTTTTCTCACAAATAAGATTCGAAATCGGAAATGAAAAGGGAGAAGAGAAGTGGGCTGAGAATTTCCCCCTGCAAAACCCCTTTTGTTATGCTTACAGGTTGTGAAAATCCGGATTCAGTGCGTACAGATAGTTCAGCTCCCTCGTATAGACTCTTAATAATGCTGATTAATTTTGTGCTTATGCCAAGTTCCATCAGTTTAATCCATAAGAGCTGATGATTCACAGAATCAAACGCCTTTACAAAGTCAACGAAGAAGCAATAAACTCTCCGACGCGGCTGACTCAGGTGGATTTGAGCAACAGAGGACAAAATTAAAATATTATCAATGCACCTTTCGAAATCCCGCTTGAAATTCTAGAATCTTTTCATTTTCTTCAGCCCATGTATATATTCGGTTGTTAATTATCTGTGTAAAAATTTTTGCTATGCAATTTACTAACGAGATACATCTGTAGTTGTTGGGATCATTAACGTCTCCCTTTTTATGTAGCATTAAGGCATGTAGTTTACACCAGCCCTCTGGCACCATCTCTCGGTCTAGGATTTTATTGAAAAAAAACTCAAGATAGTGAATCCAATTGTCGGGGAGATTTTTGAAAAAGGCATTCCCGATCTGGTCAGGACCCGGAGATTTGCCGGATTTACAATTATTGAGACTTATTAGAATTTCCTCCAGTGTAATAGGCCTATCCAGAAGAGGGTGAGTGATCTGTGTAGTTGGTGTTGTGTTAATATTACGAGGTGGTAAGAGGCTTAGCAAGAAATTATACCAAGCATCTGGCTCAATTAAGTTAAGGCCTCTGGGCCTTGATCTGAATTTATTGATTGAAATCTAAAATAATTTACCGTTTGTAGATGACCCAATTGCTTCAGTTATGTCGTCAAAAAAAATTTTCTCTTTGAAGTTAAAGAGTTTCTTATATTTTTTATTCATAATTTCGTATTTTGCCACCTTAGAGGGTATTTTAAAATTAGATTTTTTACATTTTTTCTGGCATTTTTTAACTTGTTTTCTCAGCTGAAGACACTCAAGGTCAACCCAAGGTTTCTTGTAGTGATATCTTCTAGGATGGGTTGATTTTTTATACATTTTAAGGTGGTTGGCACAGTTCTTGATTGAGTCTATGAGTATTCTGTATAGTTCATTCACGTCGTTTTCATCATAGTTTGGAAAACCGGGGTTAAATAACAGATAGTTCGTATACTCTTCGAGTAGAGTTTCATTCCATTGATATCGTCCCTCGTCTCGGTAAGATCGTTCGGGTTCAAGAATTACTTCGGAGTTTAAAGTTAAAATTGTAGATAGATGATCTGAACGAGTGGGGAAGTTCATAATATGGAAGTCATGGATGTAATTTAGAAAGAACCAGTTTGTGGTTGCAAAATCTATTGTAGAATATGTTTTGTTCTTTCCGTGGAAAGTGTATTATCCCGGTATAGGGGTGTTTGTGGAAAGAGCGAATGAATTTTTTCGAAGACAACATTCAAGGATTCTAGAGAGTTCCCCATTTGATTTGCTCGAGAGAAGTAGCATAGGGAGACAAAAAATCTATCATTCTTAGAGATAACTTCTATAGCTAAAATTTTATCAGAATTAAGAATCACATTGTACGTATAGGGCTTTTTGTTCAATGCTAAGAGTAAGCCACCAGAAGGGCGTCCTCTTTTGTTGTTCGCTTGCGCTGGTGAGTAGATCAGGTGAAATTCTGACAGCCAACTGGGTGGGGATGCCAGTGGAGTAGTCAGCCAGGTCTCCGTAAATCCTAAGATGTCCGAGTTACTGATGGATGACGCCAATTTCCAATTATTTTTATGGAAACCGTTAACATTCCACGCTATTATAGGAATTAATTTTTTTTTGTCGGAATTTGTTTCTCTGCCTATGCGTGGTCTGGAGTTTCGCGAGGAGTGGGGCGTTGACTCAGACGGTGGGTTACTGTGTAGTGGCTGCTATTTAACAGATGTTTTTGACGATTTGCTTCTGGTCGAGCGAGGTGTCATTGGATAGAATTGTCGTCTTAGACTCTGTTTTGATTTTGGTTCTGCGTCTGACTGAGAGCTCGAGGAAGTTTTACGAGGCCTGCCCCTTCTCCGTCCTTTGTTTTCGGTTACGATGTCTTCGATAAAGTTGTTGCTGTGGGGAGAGGTGACTTTGACTGGCGTTTCGTAATCTCCCTCGTTGGTAGAGGCTTCTTCAATGCACGATAGATTTGAGGCAAATTCTTTCATCACAGGGTCCGTGCTTTCTTCTAGTAAATTGGCGAGTTCAGAATTTTTCAACACTTTATTATCCACCAGGATCTTACCATTCCTTATTTTAGCAACAACATTCACTTTCTTTAGTTCGTATCTTATTTTTAAAAGTTTTTTGTTGTCCTCTCTTTCTTCAAGAGATAGATCATTGTCGATGGGAATATTCAGGTCCCTGAGACGATCAGCTTGGGTGACAAAATTCTTTTTCCATCTTGGAGCTAACAGTTTCACCAAAATTGGGCGGGTTTTTCCCGCCGTGTACCTACCAAGACGGTAGGCAGAACTTATGATCAGAACTTACAGATCTGAAATATTTATCTCAGCTCTTTGAATGATGGAGAAAACTGTCTCAAGTGTGTTTTTGTCAGCTAGATTTCCCTCTCTGGCACTTTGTATAAGATGATATTACTGGCACGATTGTCTTATTCCATTTGTGACATTTGACGAGAGATTGTGTTGTATTTCCTGTTAGTTTCGGTCGCATTTTTTTCAATTTTCTTGTGAGATTTCATTAGCAAGGTGAGTTGCTCGTTCGTTTTATCCTGTTTCTTGTCCATTTTATTGACACTGACGCTCAGTTCTTTCAAATTTTCCTTTATTGCACTCGCGTTATCCATTTTCTAAGTTGTTGATTATATTACACTAATTCGTATAAATCTTATTTCACTCACTGTTAGTAATTACCACTATAAAGACAGTTTTAGTGTTAGGAAAAGATACTAAAGATTCGTTTTTAAATCGTTTTCGACAAATATCTTCAAACCTAGTGAACCAATTTGGATTTTTTTGTTTTCAACATATTCGTTCCGATGCCTCCTATCTAAATCAACCAAAACATATATACCTGTCCATATAAAGTTTTCGAGATATTCTCGTTTTTCCGTTTCTTCATAAAAAAAAACTTTGTAAACACTCTAGCTTATGCAAAAATTGAGATATCAACTTGAAACTTGGACAGAAATTATTTATACCCGCTCAGACGAAGTATTCGAAGCATTGGAATTTTTATAGCACACATGGAGGGGGCAGTAACCATCTGAAATTTTTGTTCCTAGTCGTTGTTGTGAAGCTATAAACTTTTGTAATATTTCAGAGCATTCGGAAGGCCGCCGTCAATGTATTGATGGCGAAAAAAAATAAGATATCAACTCAGGGACACGCTGACGGTCATATGGTACGCTGTCATATGCTCGCTGTCCCCTGCTTGTTTCTTAAAAACTAATTCGTTTACTTTAGAAACAATAGCAAAATTTAGAATGTCAATTAATTTTACCTGAGTTTTGACAAATGTGATCCCATGTCTATCACAGTCATCATCAATATTCTCGAGTTCCTCAAGTATTCCAGCGCACTGCTCACACTCGTCGCTGTCTGTGAAGAAACTCTTTAATGAAACAAAAAAGAGGTCCTCAAAGCCAAACAAGCACAACATGAACATGGCAAGAAAATGCATACATGAATGATTAAATGTTAAGGAACTTTATTTCGCTGACGTCCTCGTGATGCTAATAAATTTCCAGTAATATGATTAGGTGTATTTCCCGATGATGACTGTATTTTTTCATCCTTACGGGTGGTCCAACATTCAGGGAGAAAATCATTGAAGAATGATAGTTATGAAATATTTAGGATTTTGTCACAATATCAATTCGAGGGGTTAAATTTGAAGGTGAAGTTGTCTCCTCTCGTGTCTTCCTGTATGCAGTGAACATGTATTTCTGTGTTCAACATCTCAGGGTAGATGATAAAATGTTCACAAAGGGAAAAATAATCGATTACGTAAAATAATAATGAAGATAAAGACATTAACAAGTGAAGTAAAACGAACCAAATCACTTTATTGGAAATGGTATTTCAGTTTTTGCTGAATATCTCGAAGCTGAGCAGAGATATCTAAACGTTCATCTAAACCTTTTTTACAGCTCTCATGTTTTTCTATAAAAACGTATTATCAAAAATTTCTCCATCCCCCTTCTATTCTTCGATACTCATTGCAAACCAAAGTAAAGTCGATTTATCGCATTTTACTTCACTAAATTAATTGATAAAAATTTCCACAAGTTATTATGCAAACAAGCCGTAACAGTTCTGCCAAGGATTCTGTGCAGAAGGTGGCAATGAGCCTGTCCAAATGTGCGTGGAAAAAAGCACTGTGTCCATGGGAACACCCAACGAAGCTATTTACGGATTATAATTTTCAATTAATGTGATTAATTTTGCATTTTGCTTATGGTCGATACCAATGGCATCTTCGGTCGCCTCGGCCTGCTCGGCAATCCTCTGCTCCTGCTTGTGACGCATCTGCTTGCGGAACGCTTTCGATTGGCACATGTCGCAAAGCGTTCCGTTCCCTACGAGCATTAGTTCCACGTCAGCACGAGAAATTAAAAAAAAACGAATGAGAGAATTTATTAAACAGAGATAGTGAGATTAGCGAAGACAATTAGCATGCACTCAAGCGGATAAATTGTTACTGTAATTTCATTAACTTGTTTTTATTATTTTTATAAGATTTAAATTTTCTTTGGGTTTTTGAGAATTTTTACTTACAAAAGTAAACGGCTAATGCTTCAGATTCTCGAATTAGATGAAGAAGATCCTCGCCCTCGAGGGCTTCTATTACTTCACCTGAGGGGTCTTTCTGAGTCATTAGCCATTGGAGTATCTGATCTTCGTCGTAAAGGTCACCTAGAGAAAAAAAATTTAGAGAAAAATACAAAGTTGGGGGAAAATAGACATTCTTAAATCCTCAGTATCTCCTGACTCAATAGAGCAATTTGAATAAGTGAAGACAAAATCACGATAAAACAAGATGGGAAAATCAGGCCCGGTCGCGCGCTTCGCACGCTCCCTCTTTGGGGTATGACCGGTAGGGGTTGGTGGAATTAGGTGTGACCCATTACGGGTCGAACCAATAACTTCCCGACCATTTGTTTTTCTTGACGCTGGGGTCATGCCACAGAGAATACGGTGCACGCTATACGCAACGCTAGTCATCGTCAGAAATATTCGGAAAACAGTTGGATAATTATTTCATGCGTTGCATGCGTGTTTAGTGTTGCATCCATTGTGACATTACCCTTAGGGTGATTTCGCAAAGAACGCATTTGCAATTTAATTTAACTCAAACTTCTAGGTGAATGCAATGAATTTTGAAGAGATTGTTATTCCTTCACATGTTTTATGCAAATAACTAAGCAACTGCTGAGGCAATCGTCCTCCTATACTCATCGGTTCGAAGTTTTTTTTAATACTCATAGATTGAAAAAAAGATAATAATCACGTCATTTCTCGGCATAAAATCTTTGAATTTTTGTCATGTTCACACATATTTCATGCTCATAACTAATAAACCACCGACACGGTCGCCATCATACACTGATCACTCCTAAGTTACATGAACACGCATCGATTGAAATAAAAAAAATGAGAATGATAAGATTTTTTCTGATAGAATCATTGAATTTTCACGAAATCGTCATTTTCTACATGTTTTATGCGAATAACTAACCAATCGCTGAGACGATCTTCTTCATACACTGATCACCCTCGAGTTACATAAACACGCATCGATTGCAATAACAAAAATGTGAATGACATCATTTCTCCGGATGAAATCATTGAATTTCCAAGAAGTTACATCAAAACGCATCGATTGAAAAAAAAAATTCGAATCGCTTCATTTGTTCCGAAGATATCATTGGACAAAATTTTGGTCACATCCGTACACACACACACACACACACACACACACACACACGCGCGCACACACACACACACACACACACACACCCAGAAGTTGTCCTCACGCCAGCAACGCCACGTCCGCGCTTGCTTACAGNCGAAGATATCATTGGACAAAATTTTGGTCACATCCGTACACACACACACACACACACACACACACACACACA